AAGAAATATTGTGAAAATTTCTTAAACATTTTCATGCAAAGTCACTAATGAACCAACTGAAAAGAGCCACAGTAGGCCAAACATGATATAAATATGAAAACGTAAGTTTTAAAGTGTTAAGCTGTCATTTTGATACTGGGATGTGGGTATTGCCTGCAGCGCATTCCGTGATTCATTACAATGCTTCTTACTGTCCATGAGCTGTTTACATTGTGATGGCAGAACAAATGCCCACCAAACCATCCCACGATTGGAAAGTGTATGAGCACAAGTATTAGTGCCCCAATTTTATTCCGCGTGTAAATGCGTTCATTTTTAAACTAACTTCTAAGCTTAGCCTTTAATTAGGGCACATTTTCCATCATTCTGCAGCGGTTCGGGTTTAACGAAATCGCTTTTGATAAATTGAATCCTTTATCGAAGTTCGGTGGTTTTTAAGCCGAGTATACCAATTGCCACAAATAACAGCCTTAAATTAGACAAAAACCAGACGATGCATCTGCCATGACAGTAGGTGGCACTAAAATATTCAACACGAATCACTACTCTTTAGTTGCCAGTCATTGTCCTCAAGGTTTTATTTGGCTTAAGAACTGACTTTGGTTTAACCTTTTCGAAAAGAGACTTTGCTAATTAATCAAATACTTCATACCCATTTTTCTTCTGGTAAACACTAACGTTGAAAGTTTTCGTCGTCCATAAAACTCCATGAAACCAAGAGAATTAACACACACATTCAGTTAAATTAACATTTCTAAAGGTACAAAATTTTCGCAATTTAAAAATCTATTTCCTTAAAAGTTGTTAATTGTCTGCAAAAAGCAGTCAAACCCGACATCAATTTTGCTCTTATTTCACGAAGCATTGTCGACAAAATTACTTCGGCTACGACAGTGTGTGACAATATATCAATTGATAGGTGCTCAGAAGTCTTTTGACATAATGACTTACGTGGTACATAATAGATATAGACAGACGCGAAGCAATAAATCAGTTATCAATGTAATTTCCTTAACAATCTTTTCTAAAGCTAAATGCCTTGATAGTTTGTATTTATTTTCATATTTAATGAAGATGTGAACGGAAAAAGTCCAAGAGATTACTAGGGCCAAATTAACCTATCGAGTGCCTTCGTCGCTCAGTTGTGGCCTTGTTAGACCACCAGCCGCAGTACAGCAGTACAAATTAGTGTGGATTTGGTTTTAGTACCAAACCCCTAACAAATTAAAACTTGCCATAAACAAAGAGTAAAACTTATTATGCTTACGCTCATAGCTCCGCTTTTTAAAAATTTTTCTTAAGCTGACATTTCTATTCTGCCGGTCATCAGGTTAGAGGTCAGCGCTCAAATAAAGGCATTTACAAATGCTTATTTGATCTTATCCATTGACACCTTTTGGTACTTTGACAGCCTCATTGTTTTGAGATCTTATAGGACAAGAGCCCCTGAATAGGATATGTAATTTCACAACCAAATAGCACGCTTTGCCAATGTGCTGATCATCTGAAATTGCGAAACACACATCTAGCATTAGAAAAACATTTAGGGTATTTTTCACATACGATATTGAAATCGTCCGCCATATACCATAGGAATAGCCCCACAAAAACTATTTTCGAAGTAAATTAAATATAGGATTCAAATTTAGGATTTCTCAAATAATGCTGTTTTTAACTTTCCTCTCCCCTATAGAGCCAAAATGAACATGTACACTATGATCATGCAAATACTTGTGGCCAGCCTGAACACCTGAAACCCTTGCTACCTGGACGTTAATGTGCTTTATGCTATTGATGGCTCAATAAAGGAAAGTAAATGCACGTAACCAATCCCGGTTTGTCATTTTTGATTGAAGCAAATCTGTTAAATTTGGTGTTGTTTTGGCATTGATAAAATTATTGTACCATACGAAAAAATTCATGCTATTTCTTTTTCGGCCATTTAGGGTACTTTTGACATAGTGAAAAAAAACGAAAATTTCGACTATTTGCATTTTTTAAAGAATTTAAGAAAGGCATCCTGGTTAACAGTGAAGTTTATGGTGAGGATTTTCTAACAGAACGTTTTTGACAGAATTGGTTGACAACATGTCGCCTCAGAGACTTTTCACTCAAAACATCAACGCTTTGGTGGATCTACGAAATTGGATGAAGACTAAAACACTGCCATAATTTAATATTACTGTCATATGACTCATATCGCATAAAATTTTTGTTTCAGGTTTTTATAAAACTCGAAATGAAAAAAATATGAAGTAAATCCATGGTAAACAACGGCTTTTTATCTAAAAAAATCGAAACTGCACTAGCAAAGTGAATGAAAGAACTGAACTGATTTGAAGAAGTATTAACCAAACACCAAACTCCAGACTCACAGGATAAAAGTAAGATTGGGGAAAAATCTTCAACAAAAATTGAGTTATAATTTTTCAAAAACACACTAGTTAAATAAAAAACAAGCGTCAACAACTTTAGTCAAGTGACGTACAATTTAAGCAATAAAATGCAAATCTAGATTCTTCTTTAACTACAAAAGAAGGAATAAGTATGATCACGTGTTACTTCGTTGATTGTCATGCGGCAACTTAAAACTTCACGAACATCCATTTAGACTCAATTAATTACACTTTGGAAAGCCGATTAGAGATAGAAAAGCAGTATATTTTAACAGAAGAACACTTAGCATGAAAATGAATTTATGTACTGTTTAGAACTTCAGTAGAGAGGGTCTTCGAATCCCATGATTCCCCATGGGGAAATCCGTGCTAATGAAAACGACGGAAATTAAGGGCAGTGTTTTCCGATTCTACCGGAATCTTGTTGCATAATAAAAAGGTATAGGGTTCAACCTACATGATTTCATCTTGGGTTTCATCCGAATCCGGCGGTAAATGTCAACTTTGCCCCTAAAACTGAATTCAATTGCACGTAAATCCCCGGAATAGACTGTGCTCCTATTCGGAGTAAATGAACGTTCCACAATGGGTTAGAGGAAAAAATGTTGATATTCTATCTACAATTGTTGGAATGGTGTTAAAACAGCTTTTTGCATACAAAACTGTCACGCATTTTTAGTCAGATTTTCTACTATACAAATATCGCGTAAATGCCGGAAGGTGCCATTGGAGGGCACTGAAGGATAACCGATTCAACTTGCTGAATCAACCCCAAAAAGGCCGAGGCAGGTGTCCACATTTGCCAGGGATTTCAAGCCAAGTTACCCATTTGTACACACCCACATAACCCGTGTTTGGCACCCAGAATCAACTGTCATGAGGTCTAATAGTTATTTACAGTGATACATTAAATAGTATGCTCACAGTATTCAGCAGGCTTGTGGCTCTTACTTAAAATATGTCTTGAAAAATCTAGTTTATATTTTGTATCAAGTGAAAAATATGATTAAAAACTGGTTGTCATGTTTTCTCTTGTCCCTTTTCAAGCATTTAGGGGCTGTGAATTCTATTCCTTTCATGTACAGTTTTTTTTTGGGTTAGACTAGGCAACCGAAAACCAAAATTACGAAGACTTGAACAGGGACGGCGCTGAGTCACAGGCATTTGCGTGTGATGTAAGCTAGGACAAAAATTGCATTTTTCAGCCGACGCCAGCACCAATGTTTGTCGCCACTTGTTGATGATTTTTTTTTGGTTTTTTTTCTATTTCGATTGGCAAAAAACAATGAACTCAACTCCTGAATTCCCGACAAATCATTTGACAAATTTTTGCGCCTGGTCAACTTCATTCTATTAAAAGACCACTGGGGAAAGTATTTGTAATTTTCAGTAAGATTGAATGAGCAATAATCTCAGTTGTTTTCCCTTATCATAAAACCACGTAACCTAGATTCCAAATTCAAAAGAACAAAGTGTTGGATGTTTAAGCCTAATGAGGATAGGTCTGTCTTACCACAAAATTTCTACGGGAGCCTAATTAAAAAGCTGGCCAGTATCCAGTCATACCGACGATACAAAAACACCATTTACCTCAGACCTATATATTCCTTCTATACAATCATGCTTTTGAAAAACCATTATATGGATTTGGACCAAAAATATTGCTTTTGCTTCTTCGAATTTTTTTGGGGCAACCGCAGAATCTGATCCCATTTGAGGTGCAAAAATAACATACTTTAGTAGTTCATTGAATAGATGGCAGTTCAAATAGGTATTATTTCAGTCCTAGTCTAGACCACTTCAAAGTTCAAAGACGTCACATAACCACGAAGAGACACCAATGCCGCGAGTCTCATTCATTGAGGTCATGTCCTGGTATGGAGCTATGGGGATGAGAGGCGAAACTTCTGACTTCTCATATTCTTCATTCGTGTGGTTTATTTTACATTTACGAGGCCCCTGAGGTTCAGCTAAGTCAGGTCAGTTTTTCCCAGATTATTCAAAAGCTTGTGATTAAAATGCAATGCTATTGAATAGTCGAGCTATATCAGAAGTGCGGTAGCCACATGACCTTTTGGTCTTAGACTAAGGCGGAGTGCAATGCCACTTTATCGCAGGACTTAAATAAATCCTCTCTTGAAACTCTTTAGAACCTGGTACTATTATGTTCCTACCTAGGTTACCTAGACAGTCGAAATCCGTATATGTACACATGCTATTCAGAAATCATTGACAAGATAGGTAAATTTCTATGAAAGCACTGAGGAAAAGTAGGAACACACACTTGAAATTAAATTGCACAAGGAACTACCTAAGACCACTTCAAACTTTAGAAATCATAGTCACACTGAAAAAACAAATTTTTGTCCTAAAAGTTTTGACTGCACATTACTGGCCAGTGACGTGTGTTTATTCTGCAACCCTATCATACAGATCCGAACTCCCACTGGCTGCTTTAACGAGCCAATAAAATTCAGCCATGGGCGTGGGGTGACACAGACACTCTTGATTAACATTTTCACACCTGTGTGCTTGTGTGTGTGTGAATGTCAGTGTCTGTGTTTACGTACCTTTCTTTGCGGGCATGACCCATTAAACGAACCTATGGATTCCCGAATCCTCGACGGAATTTTGAACGCTGGCGCTGCTGTTGGCGTCGAGAAGACGTGTTCTGACGACGATTTCATCGATCGAGTCAATCATACTTATACAATGAACCTTCTCATGTTCTTCACGGCGATTGTGCTTTCTAGGCAGCTGGTGGGCAAACCAATCAGCTGCTGGATCCCCAATGACTTCACTGGCGCCCAAGGCGAGTATGCGGAAACTGTCTGCTGGGTCACTTCAACATATTTTATCCCACCTGCTCAAACAACTGTTCCCATCCAAGAGGATATTCGATATGAGAGGAAAATATACTATTACCAATGGGTACCCTTTATATTAATGATTCAAGCTGCCTTGTTTGTGCTCCCTTGTATTATTTGGCGACTCTTCAATACCCAATCAAGGATTAACGTGAGTTTCGCTCACATTAAATTTTGCTTGACGTAGTTTACTATAACTTCAAGCGTGTCCTACGTCTATAGACTATATTATAAGCCCGAAGTTAACATTTTGAAAAGACATGCATGCAATTTGGTTCACTTTTTATAAGTCAATTCATTTGTCGATTCTTTAGGTATACTTCAGTTTTGCACGTATTTTATGCATCTACAGCTAATTGTTTGATTTAGGAAGTACGTAAATACGACATTGTATTAATTAAACTGTAAAAAGTAGTAAATGCAAACAACATTGTTAGCATCAACTGGTTTTAAACTGCTCTTTATACTTGCGTTACTAAGAATATTGATACTGGAATCGGACTTGAAAATATCTGGTCCGTTTATATCGCCATAACTGATGTCCAATGCACTTTGTGTTCACTGAAACCTATGCTTATGCATATCACAGCAACGGTTTTGTGTCACGAGCGCTGTAGAGTATGAAAATCAAACAAAGCTTCCGTATTTGGCAAAAATTCCTTTGATTAATCTTGGTCTGCTGGCCTTATGAGAATTTCTTTTGTTTAAAATAAACTCACAATAATCAATTCCTTTTCTTCATAATGCCACCAGCGGTTTTTTTGTTCATAAAGGAGAACAATAACACTCGGCAGGCTTATTGAAAGCAAGTCATTCAAGTAACATCAAAAGGGGTGTAGAGTACATCCAACGCCTTACAAACCAGTCCTTACTACTATGAATATTATGATCTTCGATATGCGTGCGCTAATATTTACACATTTTTACTTGTATCAGTAACTCATAAATCAGCATGTTAATTATTCCACTACTTAACAAGATAAATCCAGTTAAATCACAGACAGCTAGTTTAATTAGCTATTGCTCATTGGGATAATTTCAAGCCTAACATACGCCTTCAAGTACAGCCCAGACGTTGTTATTCAAAGCGAAATTAAAGAACACTACAAACAATTATTTTATTACTAAATGGGTCTTAAAGATTGTTAGCCAGCTCGATAATGTTCCTTGCTTGAGTAACCATACCCTATTTATATAGTTAAAAATAAAAATTCGTTATGGTAGTGAATATAAGGACATCATAATAACTGTGGTGGTATGTCCCACTGAGTGCGTGTTCCAGCAGCACTTTGAGGCAAATGCTACCCGTTGCAAAGTGCTAGATCTGATACCCCGCAACAAGTCTACCTTCTTACATCTGATCCGATGCAGAAGTCCAAAAACAAGTATTATACCTCACAATACCGTAGGCTTGGCCTCTATCCAATCAAATGACTTTGGGGAAGCCCCTTTGGAGCAGGTCTAATGAAATAGTACTTCGATTATTATATTTCAAACCGCCCGTAACCTCCGTTGGGAATGATCAAACGTGACGAATTTCTAAAAGACCAAGGAATTGATTCTATGTACTATAAGGTAACTTGGCGGACAAGGTCACATCGTGAGGTAACAAAAGGTCAGCTCATATTCTCTAAAGGTCTTCCTTTATTTCAATGGCGCCATCTCTTGGTGAAGGAACAAAAGTGTGCTCGTGTGTGTACTGACTTGGTTACAACAATAAAGGCCATTTTGTTGTCTTTTTCCATGATACAACAGACTATATTCACGGATAAAAAAGTAGTTATGAATGCAGAATCCTGGAAATAGTTGAAAGTATCCTGAAATGTGCTCTATGTGGGTACTCAGTTCACAGTAAGACATATAAATTTGTGCAAAAACTCTGAATTGACTACGCAGGAAGTAAAAAAATCAGATTTTATTCAAGTGAAGTGATTGGTATTTCTCAAAAAATTTCAAACTGAATAGAAACCGTCTTATAACTTTTTGATTACGAGTAATATTCGTACTCTGCTTTGTTTTTTCGCATCGTTTATCTACATGAAACCGAAAAAACGCAACCTTTAGCCCTAAGGATGGGGTTTTGTGAAGTTATTGTCGAATACCACCAAGCTTGCTTAAAATGCTAATATGGATGTCCTTAAAAATGATTTGCAGTGTAGTGTGCAAAATTGCATTGTTACAGTTGCCGTAAAACTTAGTACAACTCCTAAAACACCTTCATTTATTGATGAAATTACGTTCATTTGTCACTTTAGAACCGAGAGTGGTTATAAAGTAGTTTGAGGGCCCTGGTTAAAACTGTATGGTCAGTAAGCTTGAACGCGAGACTTGGAAAAATTAATGCACACCAATGTTAGTGCTTCACCCCTTATCTCCATCTTGAACCAAACTTACTTCATCCACGACATGTGTGTGAGATGACACGACAGGACCATTTTTGAATCGTGCACACCCAGCGCATGCACTGGTCTCTCGAGGCTCCGTACCACCTGCCTCCTGTTTCAAACCTCTGGAATTTTTCGACTTCTTTGTTCGACGCATATGCTCATTTATTAACAATGGTCAAATTCGGTTTCTCGATACGATTGACAGATAATTATCTATCGAACCCAGTATGAGGAAAGTAAACTCCAATATGATATTACCGTAAGTGCTTTTTCAGCAAAAGGATTAGATTTCAATCTTCTTTAGCATAAATAATTACGTCAGTGCTTAATGGTTAATACTTTTTCTTCGACCTTCGATGTGGCTGAATGACACGGAACTCCTCAACTTAGATGAAGTTAATGCTAACTTGCATATTTAGCGGTGATTAACAAATTAGATAATAAAGCGTCGTCAACTAAATTCCCAGAATTTAAAGGACAACGTGAATGAACTCTAAGGAACACACAATTTGAGGCGGTAAACATTTAAAAGTTTCCAATCGGGTGCTGTCGAAAGTTTGTTTTATCGCCTTTTTCGTAGGTGTCTTGTAGTGAGAGTCTTTGGAAAGACGTAGTTTCGTTAAAATGGTTACATACGTAGGTAACCGATTCCAATTCCGTAAACAAAAGATGGAAGATTTTATTTAATATGGGAAGACACCTTAATGTTGAGAACAGAGTAAAGATGGTCAGGTTTTAACAAACTGATACTAATGGATTAGATAAAGTCCCCTGGAAAAGACGCTTGACAATTCACTGTTGGTTTCCTTCGATTCAGTCATGATTGGCGTGTGAAGATAAACGCGTCATGTCTATAAAACACGCCCGTGTAGAAGCATCCTGATCGAGGCCAAAACAGAGATGTCGCACTAGAAAGTAATGGCCATCCAAACCATTCAAATTGAATAAGGCTTGTGTGAATACCATGGAATATCTACAAGTTATCTAAACGCTTTTCTGCAAATATGGTAGACTATCGGCAAAATTGACAATAACTGTTGGCTCTTTTAATCGTTGGTTTTAGTATTAACATATCTTTTTGCATGTAAACCCCCGATTCCAACGTCGCTTCACCGTGCCTCGTTATTCCTTTTTTAAGTAAAACAAAATTATCGGGGCTTTCGATTTGGTCAACTCCTTGTCATCAAGTTTAGATGTTTCCGTGACATGAAGAAGTCGTGATGCTCTAAACATGCTAAAATTGCTCATCCCTGATATACCAACGAAATTCGTGAAATCGTTTCATCATAAGTCTGTTTGGTAAAATGCTTTACTGATTTATGTGTGCAATTCATGCAGCACTTTGAAGAGCCTTTTTGCACCTATGAATCATCAAATCAGGAAAAAATTCCAATGTAAAATATTTCCTCGCGTAAACCATTTTTCAGGATTTGCATTGATTCCGGGATTTTGTAATCGAACACTAGGTTATAAATCACGCTTGAATCTCTATTGCATAAATACTGTTGATCCATTTGTGTTAATCAAATCATTTTATTGTATGCAACCGATTTCTTATACTTCACACGGGTATTAACCAATGCGTCTTCTGGGGGTGAAGTAGTGAGACCCATCAGTCTTCTTGTAGAACGCAGTGATTCCAACAGGTTACTGCAGACCAATCCCATTTGGAAGTGCTAGCTGATTTTTTTATAAGTGGGCAGTTTCGAAATCTACTTGGATTGTTTTTTTTCTTTCTCCTCTTTGGATGTTATAATTCTGCGACTTGCTTGAGGCTGCATCAAAATCACCCTTTTTGTTTTCATTCAGGCAATATTTAATTACGTCGAGGCAGCTCACATTTTAACTTTGTTTTGATTATTTTATGCTTTTCTTAAAAGACCGTTTGACATATTTCGATAAATGTTACCGTATCAGGTCATAGAAACGTTTTTGTGTAACTTTGAAGTAGGTGCATTGCCAATCTAACTTTTTCAAAAAATTGAACACTTTAGCTTTTGATTGCCATTAGTGTAGGAATATTTTGAAAAATTCACTGTGATCTCCAGGTAGGGTAGATTTTTGTGTAATTTCAATTATTGGCACTACATATAGCTCGTATGAGTTAACGTTGCGATTTTGATTTACTGTACAAAATTGACATGTTTGGCATAAGTAGTGTGTGAGGGGCATTAGATATATTGTCTTTTCACGATACTGCCATCTTTTTCGTAATCTTGGAGACCATGGTCTTAAAACACAATCTACTTTTTCTGCAGGATTTAATTCCACAACAAAAACGCATCAGTACGTTGTCTCATGATTCTTTGTGTAAAACACTTGTTTAAATCACTTTAACCGGCAATGCATATTTCAGAGTGGATTATATGCATTTTTTTTAAATTTGATAAGAAATTGCTAGTGGTATGTGTGACGCAAGCAAACTACATGACAGAGGCTGAGAAACTTGAATAAATCTGAGGCGTTGTCTCTATGGTTATCAACTTTACATTCTTGTCATTCTGGTGGTACCCCGTAATTCCCATAATTCTAGGTACAACTTATAATGGCGTTGACATCAACAGCTTGGAAACTTATGCAGATAAACTTCTTCCTATTTGAGTGTCGCAGTGCTGCTCAACTAAATGGACAATAAACAGTAGTTTCGAGACAACAGCCGGTATACTCGCTCGTTATATGTTAACATCAAAACGTTTGACACAAATCATTGGTCGCTTCAAGCAGCACACTGGCATTAATAGACATACATATGAAACGGAATTAAATGAATCAAGATAGAAAAAGGTCGCATAAGCGGACA